GGCAATTATTGCCCAGATTAAATCTCTAGCCTATCCTTATGATGCAATGAAAAATTGTTTTTTGGATAGTGCACTTCGCACTAAAGACTCTGTGAGCAGTTTTGAAATTTTTCATCTTCTTAAGCATTCTTGCTACATTTTCAATGCATCACTGCATCAATTTCATAGCGCAACATCTCGATTATTTTTGCAGAAGTTCAGTTACTTTTTCAGTATTTTTTTAGCGTAGCTTGGTGATAGAAACCTTACAAGAAACTTCTTACATCTTGGCTATAACTTCCCAAGAACCCTACATGAATCCATCCTTGCTGGATATCATTTCCCTTATTCTCTTAATGGCAAAAATCTCACAATTTTTTCCACCTACTCATATTCCTCTAAAATGCTTCACTTTATGACAGCAAGAAAGCGTAACATCCTGGAATCCCTCCACAGAATATGGTAGTACACCTTGACTCATATTTTGCTCTTTAGATATACTATTTCGAAATCGTATACTGTAATTACGTAAGAATTTCGTAACCTGTAGAAGTTGCTTGAGAATCACGGCGGGAATAGGTACCATGAGCTCTGGTTCCACGTAATCCAATCAACCGCCGTTCACGGTCGTCACGATTTGTTGCGCGTTTCACCCAATTGAGGTTTCTATGCAAAGTTTGTTGGGTCTCTGTTGACTAGGAGGAGAGGAAGGAAGGGGAAGGGAGAAAGGGGGGAAGGAGCAGGTGGAGGATAATTATGGATGTCTTGGAATGGATTTGAAAATGAAGTCAAAGGCTTAATGAGGATAATGAAGCCTGCCAACGTCGCATGGGCAATTTAGCAGTTATGAAAATGTGATCTGCGCTCCCTTGTTATGAGCGCACTCATCCATTTGGAGAGATATCCAATAGAACGACAAGAAAATGCAAGTGAATGGAAATGAATTTGTGGATAACTTTGGATGTAAGCTCTAGCATACGTTGCTCAACGTTAACCTCAGAATTTTTGTGTTAGCTGACAAAAATTTAATTTGCTCCTCATTTTTGTACAACTTCAAACCAAAGCTACACTGCGGAATATCCTATCTGAACTGATTTACAAAACATTTGAATAATCTGAAACG